AAATTTAAATGATAGTTTTCGCACATAAATGCCAGTTTGTGTTGGTTCATTTTTAAAGGAATAAGAGAAATGTAAGCATTTGGGACTCAAGTTGATAATTTGGACAGCTTGAATTAAGTTGAAGCCTTAAAATATTGAAATACAGATAATGCAAAAAGTTTAAGGATTTTTTTATTTGCATAAATTGGTATCTTTGTATACTTGGATCTGATTTAAATAAAATATTGGATGAGCATTTTTTTCCCAAAAAATGTTTACTGGAAACTGGAATGTGTCTGTTTATGTAGTACATGTAATAGAGCAGTGGGAAGGGCTTTTGTTTTGTTTTAACAGTGTCTTTATATTTGCCAGCATTGCTGTGTTGTCCTAAAATGTCTTTGGTTCTATTTTATTTTGAAGATCTTTGGGTGTAATTTTCCTGAAGCACTACCAGGGTATTTTGAAAAACATTAGTTCACAAACAGTAAGTATGACATTTGGTCTTATTTTGAAGTAGAGCATAGGCATTTCATCATTCTCTTTTAAGACAGAGTATTAATTACATTCAGTTATACTTTTCATCTATTTAACTCAAAACTCTTATTTGTGGATCTTTTTGAACAACTTCTTAAATTAATTATTCTAGATGGAGGATATACAGAAGATATGTGACACAATAGAAGAAAGAATACTGAAGTTACACTGCACAGACTGGCTTTATCGTATAGGTGATGAGGCAGGGGAACTGGATGACATGTGTAAGTGTTTAAGTAGGTTTTGTTAGATCTCTGAGCCAAACCATTCTGTCAGAGGTGGAATGTTGTTTAACTTAAGTGTCCTTCTGTTCACTTTGATTTGAATCTTAAAAGAGTGTAACTGTGCAGTGACTTGTTATTAGTATTATGATTGCCCAACCTGGCTAATTAAAATGAAAATATTTCAGCTTGTGTTTGATAATTTTCATTTACGATCCAACTACCAAGCTAATGAACATTTTTGCTCATTTAGTATTATGATTAATATTTTAGGGAAAATATCTGCTTGCATAATGTGTCAAATTCTACGCAGTGGAAAAACAGAAGTGGATTGCAAGAAGAGAGACACCTTGATTGAAAATGTCAAGTCAAAACTCCAGTTTCACAAACCTGCAGAGAAATGTAATATATGTGGAGAAGGTATCCTTTGAAGAAGAAGAGAAAGAATGGAGTTAGGCGAGAAAAGTTATACAACTCAATATGATTAATTTGAAATCTTTAATATTAATATAAGCTTAGAGACTTTCTTGGCGTGCAAATTGGAAATGTCAAAATTTTATTTGTAGGAATAATTCCTTAGCTTGATTAATAGTGATAAATTTTAGCAGTGCAAAGCAGGATTCCTGTGGGAATGGCCACAAGTTTGGTAAGTACATTACCTAATCAAACTTTATACAAAAGAAATTCTTTATTGGTTCATAAGTTTGGTAGTTTGATATTTGTTTTGTTATACATGTACAGTGAAGTTTTGACACAGCATTGTTTTTTCAATGACAAATACTATCATATTATAGAGAGAGTGAGTGTTTCTTAAAACTTTAGAAAGAAATTGTAGTAGAGTTGCTGCATATGCTGTCTGTTTTATTAAAGCTCGCTGCTGCCAGTCCCTGCTGCTGGTACAGGAGACCCCTTACAGAAAATGCCAGAACTGCAGAGCTTTAGCCATAGCATTACCAGATACTGGTAAGACTAAGTAACTGATAAATTTGTAGACATTATTTTGTAAATCCACCGTAGATTTGTTATATTTGAATTTAGAAATAACTGTCAGAGAATAACCATACACATTTTTTACTTCACTGGGTGAAACGTAGTTGGGTTTAACAAGTCTTTGATCCTTTGTCTCTTCAAGCTTTCTACTTGCAGTTTAGATATTCCATATTGTTTTGATTGTAAATTTCAATGTGATTTGTACATTGTACCATAAAAATGTAGTGTCATCTTATTTCCATCATTTTTAGCACCGGAGTGCATAAAGAAGATGCTGGTGTCTACTTGTACTTTCTGTGCTGGTGTGGTAGTTTAATATCACAGTGATGGTGCCACAATTCAATAATACAAAAATGAATGATTTCACATTAATGAGAAGTGGATTGAATATGTACATTGGAGCAAATGCCAGGACCATTTTGTAAATAAATTTATAGGATAAGGGTAACAAGGTACATGTGAATCTCTGTTCCAAGCCACTTCTTACCTGGACTTACTGCCTATTGTTCCTGTGATATATTTATATGTCATTCATGAACATACAATCACACTACAACATAATTATAAAAGTTTTGTAATAAAAAAAAGCTTTTATTTTTTCATATCATGATAGTTGAGTAATCACATCAAGAGAAAAACAGACTGCTTGGCAAATGCTTGGACCCATCATACATATCATAGGCCCAAAGTATATATGTATGTATATTGATGTAGATTAATATTACTTATAATGTAGTGCTGGAATATCTGCATTCAAGAGCATCTGAGGAATGTAACCACAGCTATTTAATAAATCATCAACTGTTTACGTTGTTTGGATTTTAATTTTAGTGTTCTATTTCAAATACATTTTTCTGCATTCCCAACCAGCGGGAACATTATTAAGAGACCATTAGAAGTGGATCCATTATTTCTATTGAGACATCCTTGATTCTTTTGTTGTGGGAAGACGATAACTTGACAGATGCCAAAATACCGGAGAACAAATCCTCTCATCCTACCTGTTGACTGAAGAAACTGTCATTGAAATGTAATAACATCTCTGTTCTCTGATAAGAGAAAAGAGGCAATTATCATGAGGAGTCTTAGCAGAGACTCGACTTTTTTATATCTAAAATAATACCAGTTTTATGGTTTTATTACCAGTATGTTTTTTAAGACATCTTGTTTATTATACCAAAATGTGGCCTTGAGCTTGTAACACTTATTTCACAAACTGTTTGAGAGTACCAACGAAACAGAGTGTTTTTTATGGGAAAACCAAAAGATGACCTCGGCCACATGCAAGCATGGCTTCCCATACATGAGTTGAACAATGCAAAAAAAGTATCCAAAAACTGAAGCTGACAAATAAAAATCTTTAAGTTTTTTTTGACCATATGTTTTAGTGCAAGCAGAGCCATCAAAATTGTTTGATGTGGATAAGTTCCACCCCATTAGCAAGTTGACCATTTTGAGTGGCTGGGTTGTGATTTTTACCGCCCTCATCCCCCTTGTGATTCTGGGGATGATCCCCACCTTTAAAATGCCCATTCTGTGTGGCTAGATTTGCCTCTTCATCTTTCTCAAATGCCAAGTTGGTCAGGCTTAGAGCAGCGCTGTTATCCTTGTGGTCAGTGGCTTCCAGAACAATCTCTTCATCCTGAATGTCATCTTTGTCGACATCCTTGCAGACACAGCAGTAGTGGAACTTCTCCTGTGAAGAAAAATGTGACAATTTGTTTACGTGAATTTTGTCAAGTACTAGTAAAATTGGAATGTATAATGTAGGTTATTATAATGGTTTTAAATGAAAAAAATTCATTACAGTTTCTTTAGATGAAACCTACTGGGTGGTGGTCAACTCCACAGCGGAAAGTTTTGAGGCAGGATTTTGGGAAGCAGCAGAACATCTCGTCAAACACTGGGCAGATCAGGCGGTAATCCAGCTTCTCTGGGTCTGTGTACCCTGAAATTTATATAAAATAATCAACGATTTGACAGTCAAACGTTCCCAAATAATTAGACGAATTAAGACCCCTTATCTAATTTTTTTTCTTTCTATTTATTTATTTATTGAAGTTTGATTAGAATAGGGTCTTATTCAAAAGCAACAAGATATTGTAGTAGTGTCCACCTCTCAACTAACACCTCAAAAGAACGTTCTCGTCTTTACCACCAGCTCAGCAATATGCCACCTTTCTTGTCTCACTTCTTCTGGTACTGGTAAGATACTCACCTGTGACAGCGCTGACCAACATCCCCACCACCACTACCACCAACACAGCAAATCCACTGTACCATAAGTAAGACAGATTGTACAAACCACCCAGCATAGGTCTGTTGAAAAGAAAAATAATGTGTCGATAACTTGTCTTCTGGAGATAATAAAGTGAAGATAAAGTGTCATGATGATGTTAGTTTGTTATTAGATCTGTTGCATCAAGTGTGTAGATCTACGCACGTTCTGCCAAAATTCGGGAAAATGTATAAAGGTTTCCAAAATTGCTACAAATAACTAACCAAGGTTCGGGAATTGGTCGTCGGCCCTTATGTATTTTTTTCCTTTTCACCACAAAATTATACTGTGTAAATGAATTTTTTTTCATACTACATTGTTCAAATGCTGCAATGTGCATATAAAAACATAAAGGTAACCTCACTAATTGACGTAATTATTTAAACATAGCAGCATTTACATACGTACTCAGGTGTCGTAACTGGCGTAGTGGACAAAGTGGCCGTCACGCCCGTGAGACTGGTGGTCATGACAGTGGTCAAGTTGGTCGCATTGGCGACATTACAGCCAGCAGTGGACACTGGGGCTGTCCAGAGAATTGGTTTGTAGATCTGAGCACCAATGCCGATCCAGAACGTCATGACCAGGCCGGTGATGAGGCCAGCGAGAGCTCCCTGGTAAAGTAGAATCGGAAAACAATAGATCTAGGCGGTCTTTTAAATGCAGAACTACTTCATCTGTTTATTTTTCGTTATGCGATATATATTTTAATCCATGTGGAAATTAATAGAACGACAAAAGCAAGACGATATTTTATGAAGAACTTAACTGGCACACAAATATAAACAGGTATTATGGGAAAGAAAAATTGAAATAAATAGGACGTTAGGCGCCGTCATACCTCAAGCCATTTTTCATACCTTCCAGTTTGCCCAAGGAAAGAACATTCCAAGTGTAAACACGCCAAGGAGAGGTCCTCCTATCATCCCGAACAGAGCTAAAGCTGCCTGGAAAGAAAATTAAGCTACATGTTTGTAACACGGATCAGAATATGTATAAATTTTATCAAACGGAATTTCAGCTGAATAGACTCCATAAAATAAACGTGAACTTCAATCTTGATCTTGTTTGTATTGATTGGGCCAAGGTACCTATGTAAGCCCAATTTATACGCCCAGTCTTAAGTCGCGTTTGTGTCGAGGATATGTCGACCGCTTTCGGTCCGCCCCTTCGTTGCGGTAGTCAGACCAAGAACTTCTTGGTCAGACAAAGCCATACTCACCAAGGGTAGATCGCGCCCACGCTTTTGCGACGGGTTTATTCAAATCTATCAGTAAAAAAGGAAGCAAAATACCTGCAAAACGCCTCCAAGAAGCGATGCCACGTATGTTAAGCCCATCATGAGGATACCGAAGACCACCGCTGTAAAACAGATGTATTGAGAAATAAACAGAGAGACAGACATTCACAAATACATATTTGAATGTGTTACGTACGGGTTTGTATTAGAACCATTTTGCTAGTTACATCGTTTCTGAATGTGTTACTTCGGTTAATAAAAAGGGACTTTAGATAAATATTCTAAATAAGTATACAATAGAAAGAAGGCAAAAGCACCGTTTTCCTCACATATTCCAATGGCTCCGCTAAAAAACCTCGATTGAAAAACAAATCGTAGAGTAATTTTAGACATCTTATTATTAAGTGTAATGTGTCGAATGACTTTTTGCATCTATTATTTTAAAATGAAAAAAAATTAACAATGAATTTGTAAAGAAGACGTAGGCATTTAACGCTATAAGAAAATAATGATAATAAACAAATTGTTGGCGCACATACGATATTACCACAGAGACTATCTTACACATGATTTTGGATGTGATGGTGGCTCTTTTGTCTGACATGTTCTTGCAGCAGAACTGCTCAAAGAGATCAAGTGTGAACACAGTGGCAAGGCTGTTCAGTCCCGACGAGATCGTGCTGAAATCATCACATACATACACATTTGTTTTTATATTCATTATCTGTAAATATATTTCACTCAATAAACAATAGAATAACATAAATCTTAGCAATATTTTGCGAGAATAAACCAGGGGCATCTTTCTGGCGAACTCTAGTGATATTTTTCTGGGGAACTCTAGTAAGATCTATCTGGCGAACTCGCGTGAGATTTTCGCCTCCCGAGACTAAAGTCTAACTGTTGAACGCCTGGCTTAAACCTCTGTTAATACGCCAAAACGCTCCAATAAAATGTCTCCATTAATTTTTTCGTACTCTTAAGGTTTCTTACCTGAGCGCCCCACTAAACAGGCAGGCCGTAAACAGGCCAGGAAGACCAGGTAAAAATGCAAGTTTGTCCATAACGAATAGGGGCAGCAGCTGAGGAGGAAATGATGTTTATTTTTTAACAATGTTAATACCCCAGGGGAATGGTTACATGAACTTTTGTGACACTTCAGATTCTTTTGATTTATCTCCAATATAATGCCGAAAAATACATGGCAATTAAGTGGAATGAATAAAACATTCATCACTTAACACGGAATTGAAGTTATGTTGTCATGAAACATACTGATGCGATAGAATTCTAAGCAGCATTACTTGGGAAATAAACATTTTCCAGCTCTGGGACATTTTTCACTTAATTTTTATCATTATTATTTTTATTTACTTACCTGATCCAAGTCTGAGATGTCCCCGTTTGTTTTAGGATCACAGTCGAAGTAATGTGCATAGATAAGTATTCCCGACATGGCACTGACTATCAAGATCAGTCCCAAGCCAGGTCCGTTAACCCAGTACGCACTGGAAAAAAAGCAGTACCTTTATTTTTAATTTTCATCTTTTTCGTTTGTATGTAAATCTTATCAATTTTTTTTAATCAGTAATTTATTCTGTCACTCTGTCCCATATAAAATATTTCTTTAATGAAGTGGGAAGGGCGCACAAATTTAGTATTAATTTATTCTACAGGTATTTTACACGTTAGATTATTTTGAGACGCTAGGTAGGTCTTTGTAGAACTAGATCTATAATTACTAGACACTCAACAACAAAACTTAATTTTTAGATTTAAAAGCGCTCTATCCAAGGTTAACATTCCAATGAAATCAACGATAAATAGCACGCATGTCACTGCCCTTCTAATATATTATAATCGTCTTTAATTTAAATTGTGTGTATTGATTAAAACACCCGGGTGCTGTTGTTCTTTGGGATAAATTCTGTGAATTATGAACTCACATTTGTGCTCTCTTGAGGTCGACCACTGTGAGAGCTCTCTGTACCTGAGCCTGGTTAACACCGTACACAGCCAGCCAGGTAAAGAACCCGCCAAACACACACGTCCAAACTGTATGCCGCTCACGGGGATCTGGGTCAAAACTGAAAAATAATTTTAAAAAGTTTAATAAATAATTATAATTATAATAAATTATTATTATGATAATAATAATAATAATAATAATAATAATAATAATAATAATAATAATAATAATAATAATAATAATATTATTATTATTATTATTATGATAATGATGAGAAAATTCAAAGAAGAACAGATAAAATAGTAAAAATAATTACTCTGGCTACAAAAAATTTGCGGATGTCCTATTTAAAGGTGTATATGTACTTTCAAACAAAACTTGTAAAACTAACCGATTTGATAAATGCAAGAGTCGTACACATTCATAGGTGAAACTAAGTGCGAGAGCGGTACCCTAGTTGTTACCAATAATCCCCACGTACTCAAGAAAATTGATTCTCTCTCCTTCTATGTTCTTTTCCCAAGCGTTTCCAAAGCCGCCAAGTTCAATGGACCCCTGTATGAGTACCGCCAGCAGACCGGCAAACATCATACAGATCTGAAAGGTGTCTGTCCACATAACCGCCTTGATGCCACCCTAGGGAGAAAACAGTGAATTAATGAAATGTAAATGGCGTTCTTTAAAATCTAGACCTGTACATGTTATGTATTCAAATAACAAGACACCAACCCACGGATGTTCTTTATTTCGAAATCTTATTATCAAATTTCAGATCAGATATCAGATTATTCAGAGGCAGGGAAAGGTGAATTAGTGCTACAAAATACGCTATGAAAAGTGATTTTAACATTTCTTTTAAACTTTCCTTTAATATACAATGTCAGATTAATCGTACCCATTCATTTGAACATCTTATCCCCCTGCGTTTTCCAAATTGATTTTCAAATGTTATTATTATTATTATTATTTTATCTTATTATTTTATCTTATTTTTCCGTTACTGAAGTCATTCAGTTATCCTCAAATTCTTTTTGTTAACGTAACTTACTATGCTTGTATAAAAGATGCAGACGACACCCACAGACGCAACAGCGATCCATTTGTTTAATTGTGTCACTGAAATTTAAATTACATTTACTGCACATGAATATTCCGTTTGATCGAGCACCTTATTAAACGGCTCTCGTGTTAAAATGTAAATTGACTGTATATTGACTATCATTTAAACACTCTACTACTTAGCCTCAGATTCTAAAAGATTGTAGTTCGTACGGTAAGTAGAAATAAACTTCCAGCATGCCTGTGTCATTTCACAAAAAGTGAACATTTTAGTCACGTTTAATAACAACTATTAAGCACTGTTCATTTTCCCTCCATATTTAATAATACTATGGTATAAACAATGAAAATAATGGAAAAGTCAAAAATGTGCAAATATTGCACAAAATGAGTGAGTCACTGGCGCGACTCATACGGTTATCATTTTTCTTGAATGACCCGTATATGCATTCGTTTTACTCGTGTACGATTGCCAGAAATGATATGAGAATGGGGTTTAACTTGCCTTGTTCCAATGCCAAAGATGGCGCGTACAGTACGATAGCCATGTATAGTATCTGAAATATTCAATGAGTTCAATTAAATTAGTGACAAGAAAAAGAGTTTGTTTTTAATGGGAAATCCGTAAAAATTATCTGTACAATCCGGCACCCTATGATTAGATGTGTATTGAAAAAATAATATTCTGCTATTTCTCAATCGACATTACTTTGCGCCGCGGATGTGATATTTGAGAACAAAAATATACGGCTTCGTGTGTAATAAAAAACTAAAGCGGTAATGAATATTTGTTTAATCTCTTCTAGTACCCACCAATTTGGTGGGTCTCAGTTCTGATTTATGGAGAAGCATCAAGGATCTATAGATGCAGATTACCTGAATAATAGGCGTAAATCTCATCCGATAGGTAAACATTGACATAATACAGACATAATGCGAATAAATTTTGGCTTATGAACCCTACTGGCAACCTATAGCGCAGAAAACTCAAACTGGTGACATTTGCTCACCGTAATGTTTTCTAGTGCATCAATAAATAATGAACTGCATAAAGCTCAACTATTACTTATACGTAGATATTAGCAAACTCATCATTCGATTTTGTACTTCAGCTGCTACTCACCATTTGCAGGCTAAAAGTGAGAGATCCAGCAATGCGCACCGCTTTATTGAAACGCATCTCCAAGTACTAGAATAATGAAAAGGACTCGGTGATAGCAACAAGTGTTCATGCAACATCTGCTAATTGTGGTCTGATAAGCCACACTTTTTCAACCAAAATTGCAACGTTTCTGACAAACATTGGCCCGTATTGCGGCAGAACAACTGATCACGTAAAACAGACAGTTATAGAGAAGCGATATATGTAGGCTACATTAGAGCATAAATATAAATTTTACTTAAAGTTATCATTTACCTCATAGGCACTGGTCACCTTAAGCCTGAAGAAGATGGGCAGAAAGAGATGTGCTGCTACCGGAATAACCAACAAGTAGCTGAAGGCCAGCCACAGGTATTCGGTCCCATACACGTACATTTCCTTTGGCGTCCCCAGCAACGTGATGGCAGACATGAAACTGGCAAGCAGGGACATGGAAGCAGGAATGGCTCCCATCTGTCTGTTGGCCATCAGGAACTCTGCCGTTGTTTTCTGATGGCCGCCCGTGAATGCCGAGTAAACGCCGATGCCAGCTGAGACTAGCAAAGTGCCAGCGAAGACAATGTAGTCGACCACGTGGAAAGTATTTACTTGGGCCTGTGGCATGTTTCTTTGGTTTGAGGCTGGAAACAATTCTTACGTTGTTGGACACCTGTAAAGTATCTGTATTTGAGAAAAGACAATTTGGGCGTTTTGCATTTTACTGTAGCAGAGTAAAGGACGTAGCGCGAAAGTTCCAAGTTGACAGAACACTCGACATGGTTTTATTGGTCAATAAACCTCACGTGCAGGCAGTGGATATGCATATTAATCACACCGTTTGCAAAGGATTATCCTTCAGAATATGTAGTTTATCCAGTTAACCGCATCTTAAACTACTTAATCCACGATTGTGTCAACTTTCTCTTTTGCGTTCATGCAAAATAAGGCATCAAAACGCGTTGCCTACTTCAGCTAATAGTGTCTCGTTTCCTCAGAATAAAATGAGTAATATTGCTATCATTCCCCTTTAGGAGCCATTGTATGCGTGTTCCCTGATGCCGGTGTTTATCTTCAGCAATATTGGAGTTTACCTGCTTGGGGCATGGGAGACAATAAACTTACGAAACAATTTATTACTGACTTGATTTAGGTTGCCGACAAATCAATAAATAGATAAATAAGAAATAAATAATATGAAAAAAGGGGAGGAGAGAAAAGAGAGAGAAATCCCCACTGTGTGTCACTCGCTTTGGTTTGATGCATGAAGAATGGATGGAAAGAAAGAAAGAGGGGAGAGAAAATTTGCCCTTGGTCTCAGGGTGTTTGGAAACAAAATCAGTGTCCCTTTTAAATGTTAGAGACGTATGACATGTAATTATCTTTAAAAAGAAACGAAATGCATCGACTCGAAGACGTATCGACATTCACAGGTGTCCTCATTGACGACTTTGCTCATGCATGATCATGATTGAAAAATAAATAAAAAACATTGAATATAGAACACACGATGACTTGCATAAGCCAATAGCTAGGTCAAGATCTACTTTCTGTAGATCTACTTTTTCGATGGGGTAAATATCTAAATAACATAATTGCACTGAAGAGCTTTAAAAATGGGCGTGTACTCTTTTTGGTCATGTTAATACAAATTTTCATTGTCTTTTGAAAAAGCAGGTTCCATTCGTATTCAACCTTGTATGAAACTTATAAGTGAATTATTGTGGAATTCACGTAATTTGGGGTGTTGGAATAACTGAGAGGAAGTACAGTACTAAAACATTTTGGTATATGAAAATTTTAACCAGTAATGAACTATAACAGTAAAAATGAAACACGTTCATACGCTCACAAAATGCCATAAAGCCAGCGAAACCATCCCAATGATTAATTTACGTTCTACAGCTATGCTACATGCTGTTATATCACTTTGCCGAGATAAAGAGTAGGTGAAATCTGGCAGAGTCGATTTAGGAATGGACGAAGGCCTCCGCAACTGAAGCGAAAACGTATGAAAATCAGCTTAATCTTCATGTTTCTTTTCAGCCCTTAATCTAAAAGATTGTGTGCGATTTAAATACGACGAGTATTTACCTGTGACATCAAAAACGCTTTTTGACTTTTTTTATGATCATTTTCACATTAAACTATATGACTTTTTCTATTTAATTTTCCATCAAATTATAACGACTTCCTTTAGATAAAGGTCAGTAAGCACATCGACGCAGAATATCTACTGCCTTTGACAACAAAACTATCTATAATAAGTTATACCACCAAAGTGACCAAATCTTATCTGCAAATGCCGTGAACTGTGTGACTTCTTGGAGGAATTTGTGCTCTCCGCGTGGCCCTGCAAATTAAATCTGTTTGTGGGGGTAGAGGAATACATGATAATAGAAGATTAATACCTGTGTTATCTGGTTTCCTGAACGAGATGATATTAAGCTGTCATAAAAATGATTTTGAAATCAGAAATTGAAACTCTCTCCCTAATGGATTGCACAAATACTCGCACGTGTTCAGTCACAAACGGGGCGCGCGTACGCTCGTGCGTTTAAAGCATAGGATTATGTGACACTAGAAACAATGTTTATCTCTTTGTTATACCACAAAGTCTATGATCGTTGACTAAATTGCAAAAACTAAATAAATAAATAGATAAATAAATAAATAAATACCAGATTAATATATAAAATTAATTCTTGAAAGAATGATATTTTCCATGCAAAGTTATCTTGGCACAGATAGCATCTTACAAATGTTGGAGTTCATTTTTGATTAATCCCCGTTGGTAATGAATGTGATGGTTTTTTTCGAGATTTTTCTTTAATCTCGAGCAATAGACTTGTCTGTCGAAAGAAAAGATGCAAGAAAAATGTTCTTGAAATGCAGCTAATACATGTATGTCAGTAACTTTCACACACGAATTCAGTGTCCTGGAGATTTGTCCTGCACCATGATATCCTTTGCTTATTTAAACGCTAAATTATCCTTAGAAACTGGGTTCAGTCTATCCAAATACAGAGGACAATAAAAACCCCAAGAATTTGTCCCAAATTATCTCAGTTGATAATTTTTATCGTTTTGGCCAATAACAAGACCGATTTTAACCTCGTCAGTGATTCAAAGTCACAAAGCAAATTATGAGATGTGTCCCAATTTCCGCTATTCAAATATTCTTTATCCAGCAGAAATCAAAATCAATGTTAACGAGAGGTACTGAAGTTTTGCACAAATATCAGTTTTGCACATTACAAAATTTCAACTGATTAAAAAACAACTTACCTCTTTAGGTCTACGGTAGACTTGAGAGCACTTTGTAAAACTGGTGTGACAGGCGGAGTTCCTTCACTAAAGCCCCCAGGTCACAGACAAAATAGGCTCTTCGGTGACGGTGACGGTTACGATCGCAAACAGATTTGGTCTAAAGTAAACTCGGTGGTGTGCACAGACTCGACGCTGACGCAAAACACAGCGAAAGTCAAATTCTAGGACTCAGACTATAGGTTTCGTTGAATATACGCGATTTCCATGCGACATGGCCCCGTTTGAGAAAGGCGGACCCCTTGTCAAAATTATGGATTCACCAGTCTTTTATACCAAGTGCCTAAAGAAATTAACGATGTCCTTCCCCAACTAATCCAGCTGTAGACGCGTTTAAACATTCCACTCAAGTACATTCAATGCTCGTGCGAAGACACCTTTTGCTTGTCAAGTCTCAACATTTCTGCGCTAACACATTCCGACAGCCACATGACCATGATCGCAAGATGGAGATGAAGATGGTGTTTATTACAATTACGGTTGTTATGATTATTCTTAATAACTGGAATGAAATTACATTTTTTTCATAAAAGTTGCACATGAAATAACTCTAAACCTAAATATATTCAGGGGCGGATCCAGGATTATTTGAAGGGGGGGGGGGGGGTCCGGGGTTGTGAAGCCACCCGCCACCCCCCCCACCCCCACACCCCCACCCCCTTGGCGAGGGGTTCGGGGCCCGCTGAAGGACCCTGAAAACAATTGGTAGAGGGCGAAGCAGGCATTTTCAGATATATCATTTTCAGGAAGGGGTGTTAAAATGACCATGTAATCGTTGTTGTCTCATTTGGAAATCATGCAAAACTGAAACTCTATATACTAATTGAAAATATTTCTTTCAACGAACTTCTGTCTTTTAAAGCCTACAAAATATTTAGAAAGAATGGTATCAAAGTAAAAAAAATCATGTGTGACCAATACAACTTCGCTCAGGATGACAATGTTAGCGTCCAGTTATATAGAAAGGACCCATTTGTCCTGCCCATATTAAACTATTTCTACTGATTGGCTTCATTACATAAAATACTGTCCCAGCGGGCAAATTATGTTGTTTTAACGTTGAAACAACGTTGAACCATAACGTTGAGTAGACATTGGATAAACGTTGGATTTGAAAGTTGTGTCAACCTCAGGTAACAACGTTGTATCAACGTCAGAAAACAATGTTATATCAACCCCACCCAGCGGGAGATAAGCCTGGATGTATTTAGCAGTAGCACATGTTTGATGGCTAAATATATGTAGGGTATCAATGTATGGCCNGAGATAAGCCTGGATGTATTTAGCAGTAGCACATGTTTGATGGCTAAATATATGTAGGGTATCAATGTATGGCCTTTAAGTTAAAATTTCCAAGGTTTAGATTAATATATATAGTTCTTTTCTTATATATATATATATATATATATATATATATATATATATATATATATATATATATATAACAAAGTCACAGTCACCTCAACCTATCTATAACAGGTTACCAAGAACTGTTAACTCCATCACATTTACATCAACTTATTCATCCTAGTGTTAGCTGACCTTGCAAGTATTTCAGTTTATTGTATTTCTGAAAAACAAATTGAGAAAATTCACTAGTTAACTAAAGACACAAAACAACTGTCACTTTTACTTTAAACCCCTTTTGTTATTATATTGATAAACAAAGTATCACGTTTTCAATAATTAATATTTTAAATTACAATCCATAACTGCAAGGTTGTGTCATTGACCAAAATACAACGTTGAGTCAACGTCACATTATGACGGTGTTTCGACGTGGCTGAATCAACGTTGATTTAACTTTGAATTAAGGTAGATCAACGGCAATTCAATATCAACCTGTTTTCAACGTTGACCCAACGCAACTATGCCTGCTGGGTGTGGATCTTAGGTTTTAAGATATAGACAGAGTCATAAAAACGCTTTATTCAATTGTGATTTTTAAAAGTAGTTTTTGTGTTTAAGTAGTATATTTTAACAACAAGTGGGCTTCACTTGTATCAAAAATGTACGTTAATATTTCTTGGACATAAAAAGGAATTATTATGTCCAAGATATTTTGACAGTAAACATTTGTGAGCAGTTTTAGCCAAAGCCTCTCACCCAAAATGGGCCAAAGCTGTTGTAATTTGCATAACAATAAGTTGCCCGTCGTAGTGCAAGCTGAATACTCACTCTGCAGTTGGGCACAGTTGAGTGAAGACGCATCATTATGTGTGGTGAATTCACAAGTTTTAGCTTTTATAAGACGTAGAAGCAAGTATGTGGTAAGTAGCACTACTTCTTCAATAACCTCCCTCATGAAAACACAGGTGCCGAATGAGAGAAAATTTACTGTATATATTAGTAGCGCGATTTGTTGTAATATTATGCTCATTGTTACTTGAATGTCAATCACAATGTCAGAATATGTTGTTAACCATGCTTTGGGACTACAAACGTACAGGAGAAATGGTGCTTTCAGCTGACCATTGATGAAAAAATAAGTTTGCTTGAAATCTTTCAAACTAGCTATATTTAGTTCTGCACGTGTGAAATTTTTGTATGACCCCTGGAAATTAATTTAATTGACTTCATTTATATTTTGTTCTTGTAAATATAAGCATAACTGCACAAAAAAGACTTGTCATAGTTCTGAGTTTTGGATACAAGAAGTCTGCCTAATCAAGGTGTACTTTAATTTCAAAGGCAAATTGAATTAACATTTCAAACGTCGCTTTTGAAGATAATTACGATGGTTTTCAACGATTTCTTTTGGGTTATATTTATGTACTGTATGGATTTAATGGATTTATCATTTCACCTGGGAAAAATTAGCAATTTTTAAAATACATCATTTTATCATTATAATTATTACTACAAGAATAAGGGTCCACATAGTTATTAAAGTTCTCTTGCTTGTTTCAGATTACACTTGGGCAATCCATTTATGCTTAAAGATTGACATGCTGTCAAGGATCTTTTTGTAAGGTAAGTGTTTTAATATATAATACAACACACGTTCACGCAGATGTCATTTGCTCATAAAGCGATGGTTTACATATGAAAGTTTTACGCAGGTTGACTACCGTCTCCAGTGTGCCGTATTCTGTCCCTCCATTACACAACCAACTACATGTATATTAAAACTTGATTGTACTTTCATCCAAGTTATGTGTAATTTATTTCATATATTTTCAAAAGAAAATGTTCAAATAAGATGTTTTGCGCTTCTTTAGAATAAGTCAAAATGTTCTCATTATGTCAGTTGAATCAAAATTTCTATTAATTATTTTGTCATTTCAGAAACACAGGGAGAAACTGTGCAACATGGGCCTGCAAGCAACAAGGTCTTTGGTTGACATATATCATGCTCAATTTCATGTATCTCTTATATCAAATCCGAATAAATATTTTTATAATTCCTCGTTATTTTTTCATATAAATATAAAATACACAGTGCAGCAATATTAAAATGGAAAAGGGAAAAGATTACACAGATGTGTTTCAAGTTCAATCTGGAAAAATGGTGTAAATTTCTTTTTGGAATGAAGCTTTTCTATGAAACCTGGCGATATTTAAAATTGAAATGGTTTGAAGCTTTGCAATAATGCACAGTTTTTTGTAAATATTAAATTGGACAATTGACCCGCTGAAAGAATATCTAAATTTCAATATAATGTATAAATTAGCAATCTTGCAGTCTATTCATTAGATTTAAATTTGTTTGTAGCAACATGCCTGTCACCCCTCAAAAAAATGGAATCGCCCCACCTGCCACCCCTGAAATTGAATGGACTCGCCCCACCTGTCACCCCTCAAATGAAGTCAACTCGTCCCACCTGTCACCCCTCAAATGGAATGGAATCGTCCTACCTGTCATCCCTCAAATGAAGTGAACTGGCCCCACCTGTCACCCCTCAAATGGAATGGAATCACCCCACCTGTCACCCCTCAAATGAAATGGAATCGTCCCACCTGCCACCCCTCAAATGGAATGAACTCGCCCCACCTGTCACCCCTCAAGTGGAATGGATTCTTCCCACCAGTCACCCCTTCAATCGAATAAACTCGTCCCACCTGTCACCCCTAAAACGGAATGGAATCATCCCACCTGTCGTCCCTCAAATGGAATGGATTCTTCCCACCACTCACCCCTTAAATGGAATGAACTTCACCTGTCACCCCAAAAATGGAGTGAACTTGCCCCATCTGACACCTCCTTTCATTCCTCAAATTTGATACACTTGCCCTAAGAATCAATTGTATACTTACTGGAGGACTCATGTGCTCAAGTAATAAAATATAATGAGGAAATAGAACATCTTTTGAACAGGACTGGATTCATTGGACAAAGAATAGGTCGACAGGCGATATTAACCATTTGAATTTGACCGGAAATGATAAATGTGAAAATTGGCACCTACAGAATTTACTTATATTATTTTAATTAAAATTAAAATTAGTACAATTATAATGAAACTGCTTTGTGTTAATAATTTAAATTTTTCATTTACAAAATTTGGAGAACAAAAATACATTCCAAATAGAGTATAGTATAGGTTCTAAAAAACCACTACATATCAATTTTACTTTAATTGTGTATTTTAGATTGAATCAAAAACTACCCCCAAAAAGCGAATTTATGTTCATAAATTGCTTGTCATTCACAAATGTAAATATTAAGAATAAAATTTGACTTATACAATGCAGATTATAATAATATGATAAGGTAGTTGATTGGCTAAATAAACAATCTTACCTGAGCTCCAACATCGTGAAAATTGCGTTTTTACACTCAACTTTGAAATGTGTGATTTGCAAACACTGAAAATAACATCATGCCATTTTAAACACTTGAATAATTGCACTATTGCATAATGAGATGAATTTAAAAAGAAACTGGATATGTTTCAAATAGAATGATGTACATAGCATGCCCTAAGGTATAATTTAAAAATATCATGATCAGTCCCTGAGCTATGATATAGAATACAAAAAGGATCGATTTCTAAGTATATTTTCTGAAGGGAACACGATCGATCTATAGTCAACCGTTTCAAAATGTTAAAATGTGTTTCAAAATCACAGAGAGAGAGAGAGAGAGAGAGAGAGAGAGAGAGAGAGAGAGAGAGAGAGAGAAAGCATGTACAATTTTCAACATATAGCATCTGCGGTGCGAATGGATCTGCGGCAGATTTTAAAATATGTCTCGGAGACCTGGAAAGCTTTAGTCAGGAGCACGTGCACTCTGCGGGATCTCGGCAAAGGCGTTTGCAGTTCTTACGTTGAGGATTCATGTTGATTCAGGGATCATCGGGGTAATCCCCGAAGAAGGCCCAGGGGCCGAAAGCTCGGACTGTTTTTTACAACTTTAATGTAGATCTTCAAGGGTGCATCAATATATATACTTCTACAGTTCTTACGTTGAAACGGAGATCACGACGTTTCGTCTTTATCGCAAGGTCTTTTTCGGGTAAACCGTTTTTGAATTGTCACCAGTGTCGCAGGGTTACGTGACTGCAAAACACCAGTCATACTTTTGACACGAAAGACGTCATGATCCTCGATAAAGGGAGGCGGAGTGGTTCAGACGAAATCCTTGACCCGACGATCACCTTTTATTGCTCCATTCGCACCGCAGATGCTCTAATGCATCACTATCTCTCACAAACCTTCGGCAATCTTACATTTTTAAATTGTGCCAGGTTTATACTCTAAATATAATTTCAATTAGGTAATCCGCTTGGTTTTAGTTTTGATACACTGTCCCATGAGTATTTCAGCTAATGCGTTTTAAGAGGTCCCTGTCAGTAAGCACCTACAATATTTCTTTTTTATAAGAAATTATACGCTCTTCGATATTTTCCAGATATTTGCAGGTAAAATACGAAGGGTTAATCAGGCCGAGTAGAAATCGTGGATGGAGCTCGCTGCTGCAGTCAGTGTGTTGGCACGGTCAGGACACTTGGTATTTTGTTCTACAAAAGGCAATTAGACACACTTCAATCTGGCTGCCCTTTTTAAAGCTCCCTAACAGTGCCTGCTTTTAATGCGCCCCTTCACAACTCCTGGCAAAAATCTGTAGGAAGGCAGACAAGTTTAAAATATATTTCAGACAAAAGTTTCACATAAAATGTAATTGCATCATTCATCGCTTTCATACAATGTTCTTTTTAATGAAAATGATACGTCACGCACGTCAGCGGCAGTAGACACGGGAAATATAGCATCGTGAACAATGAAGGATGAGCATGGATGCATCAATACAGCCCACTAATGTGGACGTTCACGTGAACAATTGTCGTTTTAACTCCCCCCCCCCTTTCCATTTTCCATTCTTATTACCGTGCACGGTTTTGTGTGCGGCTCAAGAGACAGAACCCATCACTGGCTGAATGAAGAGACAGCACTGACTATATATGAAAATAAATTATGTATTTTTTATTTAATTCATCTTGATATAACCTATCAAGCTTTTGGCAACTTACTGCCTATGGGTACACATAAATAACCAAGTGTGCAAACAAACTTACACTTGTTTAGATCTTTTATAGAAAAACTGAAAAGTTCTTCACATATTGTAATGTAGTTTTCATACAAATGCAACATTTTAACATCTACATTTCAGAAAAAACTAAATTATTTTATTTCAAAAATTTGAAATAAACATTTTAAAATAATACATTTATGATTAATTCCCTGTTATGTCAGAAGTTTAATAATCCAGAAAATACAATATGTACAAATCCTCTGATCCCCTTGTTCAAAAAGCTGTCCACCACCGAAGATCACGACCCCATGTTAAACAAATGGAGTATGTTTAATGTACAAATATAATAAGATGGAAATGTTATGATAAAACTTCTAATATGTTAACTGTAATGCAGCTGTTAGTTTCAAACACCCATCCACACTGACCACTTAATCCATAATTGGTTTCATCACAGAATTTTTGATATAAAAATTCTCCCTCTGCTTGTAAAATATATGCATATATACATGCACAGTATGTTGAATTTGAGGATGAGAGAGATGTCATCTGTTCTGTTTTCCTTTTAAGTGTAATAAATATTCCTCTTGGTGGTTCTAGCTGTATGACAAATTCTTTGTCCATATGTCCCCCAGAAATACACCTGGACCACTTGGGTTGACGCCTAGTTCCAAGCTCAACCTCAATGCCCGAAGAACCTGTAAGAGATGGATTTTATGTATTATAACTATAGATTAACACTATTACTTAAACATTTGCTGAGAGAGAGAGAGAGAGAGAGAGAGAGAGAGAAGGAATGAATCAAAAATAAAAAAATAATTGTTGAAGAGATTGCCACTATGAAAAAAAAAATTAGAATGTAAACTTATGACAATTTATAGTATCTATTCATGACGTCTGTCGTTCATACACAATAACATAATCAGTATTCTTCTTTTTTCAATAAAAAGGCATTTCCAAGGATGACAATACAAAATATACTTACACTAGCATGCAAAACATCATGAAAATATTCCACAGGGCTATAAATATCCTGAAGTAGCGGAGACTTAGAAGGAACTCTCTGATTTTATCACCTAATAATAAAGAAAGGCACATCAACCATCCTTCACACATACTTTATTATTTTACACTTCACTTTATTTATTACAAGATTGTGTGACAAAATGTAAATTGCTTCAATCTTTTTCAAAAAGTCATATATATAGCTTTTTTAGTAAAAGCGACAAAGGAAAATGTGTAAAAATAGTAGACTTTATAGGCCACGTGCTGAATTTACATCATGATCTAACTGTATTCATCTTACCTGTTGTTGGATCAGCGTTTTCTAGGAAACCCTCTTCACCTTTCCTCTTCTTCCTAGAAAATTAATAAGTTACATGTGTCAGCTCAAGCAGTACAAAGTTTCTTCTATTTCTATTTCCATCAGTTCAATAAAAATTAGACATTGTGGTTACGTAATATTTAAGTAAAGATAAGTAAAGTGACCAAATATTATCTTAGGACATCAAAATATCTTTCAAATATTTTAAGAACACAAGAAGTACAAATATGATTCTGTCAGGGGAGGGTCTATATCCCCACTCCCTCCTGCTTTTTCGTCCCTCCCTTTTCCTTGGTCTAATTATGTCCTATTCCCAAGCACACCCTACCTACCAGCTATGCTGTTGGGTACAAACTTACAATTTAAAGTTTAGGATGGCACCTGCATTTACCAGAAGGGTCCTAAAATCAGAAAATATAAGGATTAGTTTATATAGTTTTTAAAAAATCAACAACTATATCAGGATAATATTGAAAATTTAGGTACAGAAATATACGATTTACATATAACACATTTAGTAATACCAGCCATAAATACAAGCTATGAATACACTTCAATACAGCCAACTTCAGAGTATAAAACATTTCTTTATCTTATTCAACTCAATGGCAAAAGATTGAGAAACCGTGACGTACTGACCGCATACAAAAGTGTACTGTGTATTAATATTACAGTATTACTGGTATTTCATGTTGTTTAAATAAAAATGCGAGCACTTACCCTATCAAGATTATATCAGAAATCATCTTGACTGCTTATACCAAAAGTGTCCTCAAAACTGGACAGTAGATATCAATAATTTAATGAGCAGAGTGGTATTCTGAAAGCTCAAGTACACTGGTTCACGTTGAAACCTCCACGTCGTCCGACATCTTGAAATCTCGTCTGTCACATGATCACAGATGCAGTAAAAATTATGAATTTATGCATTAACTGTAACTTAATGGAAATTTGATTTTTACTGAAGAACTATAGGTTGGTAGATAGAAAATTATCCCACTTAAACAATCATAAGTATGTAAAGGCCCAACTAAAGACCAAAATGTTTGTGCTCACATCTCGAAGATTCACGTGGTAACAGTAAACACGGAAGCGGCGCTTTCTTACGAATGTTGCTACACGCTTGTGAAGGGCAAATAAAATGTATTTCAGCGAAGGGCTTGAATTAAATATTTCAGACAGACATACGAGGTGTGTATTTTTTNGAGAGAGAGAGAGAGAGAGAGAGAGAGAGAGAAGGAATGAATCAAAAATAAAAAAATAATTGTTGAAGAGATTGCCACTATGAAAAAAAAAATTAGAATGTAAACTTATGACAATTTATAGTATCTATTCATGACGTCTGTCGTTCATACACAATAACATAATCAGTATTCTTCTTTTTTCAATAAAAAGGCATTTCCAAGGATGACAATACAAAATATACTTACACTAGCATGCAAAACATCATGAAAATATTCCACAGGGCTATAAATATCCTGAAGTAGCGGAGACTTAGAAGGAACTCTCTGATTTTATCACCTAATAATAAAGAAAGGCACATCAACCATCCTTCACACATACTTTATTATTTTACACTTCACTTTATTTATTACAAGATTGTGTGACAAAATGTAAATTGCTTCAATCTTTTTCAAAAAGTCATATATATAGCTTTTTTAGTAAAAGCGACAAAGGAAAATGTGTAAAAATAGTAGACTTTATAGGCCACGTGCTGAATTTACATCATGATCTAACTGTATTCATCTTACCTGTTGTTGGATCAGCGTTTTCTAGGAAACCCTCTTCACCTTTCCTCTTCTTCCTAGAAAATTAATAAGTTACATGTGTCAGCTCAAGCAGTACAAAGTTTCTTCTATTTCTATTTCCATCAGTTCAATAAAAATTAGACATTGTGGTTACGTAATATTTAAGTAAAGATAAGTAAAGTGACCAAATATTATCTTAGGACATCAAAATATCTTTCAAATATTTTAAGAACACAAGAAGTACAAATATGATTCTGTCAGGGGAGGGTCTATATCCCCACTCCCTCCTGCTTTTTCGTCCCTCCCTTTTCCTTGGTCTAATTATGTCCTATTCCCAAGCACACCCTACCTACCAGCTATGCTGTTGGGTACAAACTTACAATTTAAAGTTTAGGATGGCACCTGCATTTACCAGAAGGGTCCTAAAATCAGAAAATATAAGGATTAGTTTATATAGTTTTTAAAAAATCAACAACTACATGTATATCAGGATAATATTGAAAATTTAGGTACAGAAATATACGATTTACATATAACACATTTAGTAATACCAGCCATAAATACAAGCTATGAATACACTTCAATACAGCCAACTTCAGAGTATAAAACATTTCTTTATCTTATTCAACTCAATGGCAAAAGATTGAGAAACCGTGACGTACTGACCGCATACAAAAGTGTACTGTGTATTAATATTACAGTATTACTGGTATTTCATGTTGTTTAAATAAAAATGCGAGCACTTACCCTATCAAGATTATATCAGAAATCATCTTGACTGCTTATACCAAAAGTGTCCTCAAAACTGGACAGTAGATATCAATAATTTAATGAGCAGAGTGGTATTCTGAAAGCTCAAGTACACTGGTTCACGTTGAAACCTCCACGTCGTCCGACATCTTGAAATCTCGTCTGTCACATGATCACAGATGCAGTAAAAATTATGAATTTATGCATTAACTGTAACTTAATGGAAATTTGATTTTTACTGAAGAACTATAGGTTGGTAAATAGAAAATTATCCCACTTAAACAATCATAAGTATGTAAAGGCCCAACTAAAGACCAAAATGTTTGTGCTCACATCTCGAAGATTCACGTGGTAACAGTAAACACGGAAGCGGCGCTTTCTTACGAATGTTGCTACACGCTTGTGAAGGGCAAATAAAATGTATTTCAGCGAAGGGCTTGAATTAAATATTTCAGACAGACATACGAGGTGTGTATTTTTTAATAATTTTTGTAAAGATAAGAAGAATGGCTTTGATCAAATACCACTGTAGGTACTGTAGGTACTAAAAAAAGAACCAATGCCCACTGTGCCTTCGCCCTTGCCCTACCAAAAACTCGTCAGTAATTATAAAATTTAAATGGTCAATTAATTTGTCTTCAAGGGGCGTTTTTCAGAGTGAATGGATTTCATATTCCTTTTTGCGGATACAATGCAGCGCAATAGTACTCGAAATAGGTAGTCTTTATTAATTTATTTATTTTGTATGAAGGTCATTACCCGGTATGTGCAGTCAAGGCGAAAAATTTTAGGACCACGATGGAAAAAGGTATGGAGACTGTCATACTAGGATGGTGAGTTAAATGCAGAAATAACTGGTGATTTCAGTATTGCTATTGATCAAAAATATGCGAGTTCTGTTACTCTAATCTGGCCCATAGCCGGGGGGGGGGGGGGGCGAAATGAACACCCTTTTTTGCGGGGGAAGGTACCCCTCTGGGTAAAATTTTATCTAGGAACACAAAGGTTACATGGTAAAAGGTCCACCTTTTCAGAAAAAGAACCCCCTTTGAAATTGCTGGCTATGGGCCTGCTTTTAATGTATTTTCATTCAGTAATTAACTTAAGGGGTGGGGGTAGTGTCATCAAAAAATTTCTTAAAACTATTTTCAGTAGTAAAAAGTCTTATATTATAATAAAATAGTATTATTAACATAGCCTATATTTTATTTTAATATTTATTATTTTTTAGGGTGACAGATCAACTGGGGAAGGCACATACAGTAATCCACTTAAAGAACAAGTTGCCAGTTAAAGTACCGCGACTGGTTGGCACAGTTTTCTCTTTTTAATCTAAATCTGTTCCTGTGATTGCATACCCAATTGGGTCTTCTGTCCGTCCGGATGAAGTCTTAAAATGCGAATTTCGTCTTCGGAATATTGTTCTGAAAATGAAGAACAGGACTCTGAGATGTCCATTTCTAGTTGGTTGATATTGATTGACAGTTACTGCAGTTATATTTTTAATCTCTAATTTTGTTCCTGATTAATATCTTTTAAGTTGCTCAAAAATGTTTTTTCAGAATGTTGTTCTGAAAATGAAGAACAGGACTCTGACTAATCCATTGTTTGTTGGCTGATATTATTTGACAGGTATTAAAGTTAAATTTTTATATCTTTATTATTTTTTCTTGATTATATAAAATACCTTTTAAGTTGCTAAAAAATGTTAATTCTGAACCCAACTCTCCAAAACTTTCAAGACATCTCTTTCGTGTATCACTGAAAACTTGTTGGGAAGATAAAATCATTTTTTTTACTTAGTGAGATATTATTTATTTATTTATTTTATTTTTATTTATTTTTATTTATTTTTGCCAAAAGATTGAATGACATGAAATAATGAACTATTGGTGGTGGTAATTTTACACTCCTTTTCCCGGTGAACTTAGTAATCCATTTGCATGGAAATCCGGTGCATTCCTCATCAAAAATTATCAGTTTTGTATATTGAAAGTTTCAGGGGGCAGTGCATGGAGTGCATGCTGCATTTTATAGTGTCCTTTCCTGGGCCTTGTAAATTTATTCATCTGGATAAAGTTAAATAAAAGAAACTAATGGTGTCTCTTTGTAATTGGTACGTATACAGTACAGTATAATATATGCAAACCTTCAGATATGTACTGAGAGAGTGGTACTGGGTTTTTCTTTCCTTTTTATTTACTTTGACCGAACAGAGTGAAAAATGTGTTCCTACTAGTACACACGTGACTTAGCAAGTGTGGCGGTTCAGAGTAGTTTATAGGTAAAGATGTTTACATTATAGCCTTCTATGCAGTAAAGCATAAAAGAGTATGTAGTGTTGAATTCTGCTGCATCATGGTGTGGCATTGTTGTGAAAATAGAGTAATGTGCAGTAGGGCAATTTTCCTATTTTTCTTTTTATAAGCCTGAAATCAAATAGAATTAACCCACTTTTCATATTTTGAACAAACCAATGATTTTTTTTTAGGTTTGGATGCTCTAAGGAATGGGATATTCCAATGATAAATATTCTCCAGGTCTAAATGGGGATGTAACATGGACATTTGTGTGATTCTTTAAATGTACAAAAACAAAAATACACTCTTTGCACTTCCTTTACAATTTCTTGCATTGAAATGACATGTGATGTGACTATTATCTTTCTTTTTTCTTTCTTTTTTGATATATTTCATGCAGATTTCAGATACACCCAATGTTAAAATATAAGATAGAAGATAGAAAGGGGGTTGGTCATGACATTGTGAGATTCACTGATCAGAAAAGATGAAAGAAAATTTAATCCAGGCATGCCCGTACAAGGTTACTACATGTATAAGAAAGCAAAAATAATATAATATTGACACTCTGTCTTCAACATTTCTTGGCTTTTAGCAAATACAAAAGGGAGGTTGCACATGTAGAGCATGCAACAACACAACAAGTATTGATTCTTCTGTAGCAAATCATAGAGCTATGTATTTAGGGTGTAACACAAATTAAGCACAAATTATTAGGCAGTGGCCTATTGGTATTTCTTTGGACAAAGCCCTGCCAACGCCTACAGGTATATAATGCATGTCCCACAAAGACCTCAGCTGCATTATCCACAGTGCAGTGCCCCGTTTGGTGCAGAGAGTGACTGACTACCTCTGTATTGCATGACCACATGCATTGATGGTATTTGTCACAACAAAGGCTGGTCAGTGGTTGTGCTCAGGTGAATACAGAGAGGGACCTCTGAGATACAGATCTCCGTGCATGGCCGACTCACCTGTGAAAGCACTTTCTACTGGTTGCACACTGTGATGTGTTATAATAGCCCCGTAGAGGGGATTTAATGCAGAGTCATCCGAGCCATTAGTGACAATGGTGGGGATCAACACACTGTGAAGTGAGGTTGCAGATTTTGGAACTTTCGCCTGACGTACATGTAGTTGTTTCCCCTCTGGTTGGACAGGGCAGGGTAGTTGTAGGAAAACTTTGAAAAGAAGATAGCTGGAGACACACCACACTGTGTGACTGTGTGTGTGTGTGTGTGTGTGTTTGTGCCTATTAGACTTTTATACTAGTGATAGCTGAAGAGAAAGAGAGATATTCCAGTGGAAGATCAGACAGGTTCAGGACAGTTGAAGTGACAAGAGTGTTAATGCCAGAGGCATTTTTTACCTCATCAACATTTTTTATCTCAACATTGTGGTCACATAGGAAAGTGCAGTAGGGGCCTGTGTGGGTATATCATTTAGTTCAAGTGCCAGCCACCACGCACCCAAAAACAACATGTTTACAACATACTGGATGCTGCTTGTCATTCTTGCTTTTCAAGGATTGTTTCACAGCTCATTGTCTCATGTGGCTTTAACATATCCACCAGCAAGGAAATATGATTTGGACTTTTTAGACAATGCACGTACGAAGGGTCCATGTGGAATGCCCAAAGGTACAGTACCATCACAACACTTTGATACAAATTCTTGATAGACCATTTTATGTTAAATCTTAGGCACTGTATTTACCGATCCACTACAGTATTGATGTTAAGTCCATGTTAACTGTCAAAGGTGTTGACAGCTACATTATGATTATACAACAGGGGCAGGTGAAAGGGTCAAGCGTAGGATTGTCTACCTGTATCTTTACTCTCAACTGGTCATCGTGATGGACAGGTTGGCCAATAAGTGAAAGTTGTGTAATGGGGCGTTTACTTGGTATTGGTAATGATTCTTACCAAAAGAATGCAGAGGTCAGTCACTACAGACTGAGGGGAGGGGGGATTAGGGTGAGGGCGATTCCAGGGGTCAACATATGCTGATTAAATAAAGGGGGGAGTTTCTCTCCATTTTTTTAAAACAAAATTGAATAAGAAGTCTCTATTTAGTATCCAACCCTCCCAAATATAGAGGAAAAACATACTGTTAAGACTGAAAAGCCATATTTCATATGATCCCCTGCCCAACCCCTCTTCTTGTTTTTTTTTTTTTTTTTATCCACTTTGGTCACATAATACTGGTATACTGGTATAGTGTAATATGGCATAGATATTAAGTTGAATTTTATGTTTGAACCTGTGCACTAGTATTTTTGACATGGGTAGTTTCATGTTGCAAAATCTTTTTTGCATGCATAACATATTGTGACCTGACGGCAGTCGGCAATAAAATACAGTGTTTAGTCATGGTGACAAAGGAGAGCAATGGTTACTGGGATTCATTTCCCAAGAAAAGTTACATATAAAAAGTTTATTTTTATCTTTAATATTGAAAATTGTGGTCTACTACAGAAAAAAATAACTTCCAGACATCAACATTAGGTGTTTCTTTACTTTTTTAGAACAGCTGGAGAAAAGTTTCTCAGTTTACTATGTGTGCTACTAATATACTGGTATGTTACTGGCTATTTAAGTTAGTAGTTTCTAAAAGGTATTTTCTGAAGTGCTTGGTATGCTTGACATAAGGATTTATTAATTTACACAGTATTCCATGCTCTGTTCTGCTGGGTTCTGTTTCTATTTTTTCTCTTTGTTTGTCTATATTAAGTACTTGATGGACAACATTTATACTTTTTCCAATGCATTGTATACAGTTGATAAATATTTAATCAAAGTATCACTTTTTTCATAATGGAAACAAATACTTTAAAATCCCTGTAGGAAGTTTATAATATTGGTGACATTTTATTGATAATTTTATAGTGTCATCATTTAATAATTTGTTATTAATTCATTTTTGCAAGGGTAGACGCATGTACATCTGGCTGTGGAATATTAACTCTTTTGAACTTGTCTGGGTTCTTTGCTGTCTGGTGATATAGTGTCTGGTAACTTCCCTGACCATTCCACATTACTTGGCTATTAAATGTCTGCCTCCTGGCACAGACTCATGCTTTTACACAGGCATTACAATACTCTTTTATATAAGCCTTGTGATTTATGTCTACTGTCACAAATTGGTCATACAGTGTATAGGACAAGTTCTTTTAGTTTAGGTTATTATATGTGAGAGATTAAGGAGCAATAGGAAAAGTGGGCATTAGAATGAGAGGCATGCAAAATATAATAACTATCAATTCTGTAGTGATTAGGAATTAAAAACTTGACACCGATTGCTCTCTCTACAAATTTGATATGGCTGACAAGTACTTTGCTCTTCACATAAGTATAGGGCATCACTTAGGGTTCTAATTATTTATTTCTTTATTTTTTCTCATTCTTTCTCTTGTGTTTCTTCTTTTCCTCTGTTCTTTCTTTCATATAATGTTACTGAAGTTCTTTAATTTGCCATTGAGTTCTAACAAATACTATGCTAATTAATATGGATTGTTTTACATGTATGTACTTCAGTAGTATGAAGTCTTGTACAATTATCATTTTGGTACCATTATAATGTACATGTACATTGGGTCCAAGGTACCACAAAACACAGTCGATTTGTGTTACTTATATCTTTATTTTCTTCTGTAAGTAAAATAATAATGCAAGAAAAGATGTTGGAGCATGGATGAAAAGTTTTCAGGATTATGCCCGATTTCAGGATTTTCAGTCTCCATTTAGATTTTTCTTTTTTTAAATTTTTTCATATGGTCTAAATGCAATGAGTAACTTTCTTTAGTTGAGAAGTGCTGATATGTTTTTTAACTGGATTGCTAGAGGTGACATAGATGTCACTGTATTGTCTTAGGCAGTGGTGTGCAATCAGCACAAGCATTTCATTAGTTACAGCTGTCAAAGCTCTGTGGATGAAGATCGAGACAAACCATCATTGTATTTTAATGAGTAAAGGGTAGGGCTAGTTGTAGGGGCAATCCTTAATGTCAAAACAGNATCCAGTAATTAACTTAAGGGGTGGGGGTAGTGTCATCAAAAAATTTCTTAAAACTATTTTCAGTTGTAAAAAGTCTGATATTATAATAGAATAGTATTATTAACATAGCCTATAGTTTATTTTAATATTAATTATTTTTAGAGTGACAGATCAACTGGAGAAGGCACATATAGTAATCCAATTACAGAACAAGTTGCCAGTTAAAGTACCACGACTGTTTGGCACAGTTTTCTCTTTTTAATCTAAATCTGTTCCTGTGATTTCTGTCCGTCCTGATGAAGTCTTAAAATGCGAATTTCGTCTTCGGTATATTGTTCTGAAAATGAAGAACAGGACTCTGAGATGTCCATTTCTAGTTGGTTGATATTGATTGACAGTTACTGCAGTTATATTTTTAATCTCTAATTTTGTTTCTGATTAATATCTTTTAAGTTGCTCAAAAATATTTTTTCAGAATGTTGTTCTGAAAATGAAGAACAGGACTCTGACTAATCCATTGTTTGTTGGCTGATGTTATTTGACAGGTATTAAAGTTAAATTTTTATATCTTAATTTTTTTTTCTTGATTTTATAAAATAACTTTTAAGTTGCTAAAAAATGTTTATTCTGAACCCAACTCTCCAAAACTTTCAAAACATCTCTTTCATGTGTCACTTGTTGGGAAGATAAAATCCTTTTTTTTTTTACTTAGTGAGATATTATTTATTTATTTATTTATTTTATTTTTATTTTTTATTTATTTATTTTTTTTGGGGGGGGGGGGGGGTTCGAAAGAACACCCGTTTGTATTGG